TTTTTTTTTTCCTTTCTTCTTTTTGAATAGAAAAATGAGCATCAAAAGCAACTAACAGCTCTTCTGGAAATAGGGTTTGGACATTTCTTTCATTGTTTTCTTCACCTCTGTCTTCAGTTCTTCTTTTCTTTTTTGGTGATAAATTGTTGGAATTTTCTGTCCCTTGTTTTTGAGTTTGGATTTCTTTCTTTTGCTTTTGTTTTCATTTGACTTTTTTCTTGGCTTTTAGTTTAGTGTTTTTTTTACTCTGAAGGTTTCTAGATCAGAACCATTGCAGGGCCTCTAGTCCATGGTGGTGAAGGCTCTCTTTTTCTCTCACCCTTTTGTTGTGACAATGGCTATTACGGGCAAACTGGCCAGAGTTGTCCAATTTCTCATGATTTTTCCCCACTTCCTTCCCTCTGCTTTCTCTTCTCCTTCTCCCTCTTGCTCTCTCTCTCACTTTCTCTCTCTCTCTGACCTCTACCTGCGTGGCCAACAGGAGCTCAGCCGGTTGTTTGTTTCAGTACACACTCTGCATGGCATGTCCACGTCTGGTGACTCGCCCGTCTCCTCCTGGCCTCAATCTATTTTCCTCCATCTTCCCTTGCAACCACTAACAACATCTAAGCAAAACACATTGAATTCACTTCCTCCTCTCCCACCCTTTCCCTCTGTCACCCTTCACCTTCCATGTGTTTGTGGTTAGAGATTTTGGGGACATTTCTGTTTTGTTTTGAGTTTTTTTGTTATTATGGAATTTGTTTGGTATTTTTATTTTTGATTGCATGTGGGTGTGAAATGCTTGTTTTTCCCTTTTTCTTCTCCTTCTCTCTCTTTATTTTGCTTTTTTCCTGTTGTCTTTCTGGACCTCAGATATATTGGCATGACAGGTCAAAGTGCAGTGTGTGCACGCTTTTTAGCTCTTTCTTTCTTTCTCATATCCACGTCTATCACATTTTTTGGAGTGCAATTTATTTATTTTATTTTGGTTTATTTTCTGCTTATATTTTGGTTATGGGTTAGTTTGAG